TTTTTCTTACTGGCTCATAGTCTGCTGCTACACATCCATTTTGCAACAGTTTTGCTTTAACATAGAGCAAGATTTATTGTTTTAGAAAACAGTGGCAACCCTGGGAATATTGTTCTCATCCATTCTTTTTGAACATGAACATTGGTTTAACCCACGATGGTTTTAAGGACTCACTTGGGTAGCGTTTTTTTGGCTGCTCTTGATCTTTAGTGGTACATTTTGTTGGATCATGGAGGAAGGTGGTGGGGCAGCACACTAAGTTTACTGGCTTCAGTAGTGTAGACACAGGACAACTCTGAAGTCGGAAGAATCAGTAGCACAGTCATCTGAATTTTTTTTTTAAACACATTAATCTTTCAGAATTTTTCTCCTGTTGATTTGTGAATACTAAAAGTACTGGTATCCTTTGAATGAATGTGAATGGAGCACATTACTTTCAAATGTGGGCAAAAACGTTATTGACACAGTTGTTTACTGCCCTTGACTCATGGCAACTCCATGTACAGCAGAACAAAATGCTGCCCGATCCTGCATCATCCCCATGATTGGTTGTGGATTGGAAAGTTGTGATCCTTAGGGTTTGCATTGGCTGATATTCCCAAGTAGATCACCAACCTTTCTTCCTAGTCCATCTTAGTCTGGAAGCTGTTCAGCATCATAACAACATGCAAGCCTCCCCTGACAGACAGTGGTGGCTGCGCATTATGTGCACTGGCCAGGAATCAAACCTGGGTCTCCCACATGGAAAGCGAGGATTCTACACTGAACCACCATTGGGCTCACATTACACAGTAGACCCCAAATTATGCTTCTTTCACCATCTCAGAGTATCTTTGTATTCCTAAAGGAAGTGTTTAGTTCATAAAGCCCAAAGAGATCCAGTGAGGTAAAAAAATCCAGGATCAGGAGTTCCCTGTCTTTGCAAAGTGTTATATAACCTCACAGAAGAAAGATGAGTTTGTGTTTCTCTAGTTTTATTTCAAAACTACAACTTTTTGGAAGCCTTTGATCACCTGGCATTTTTCTAATTAGAGAACCAAGCCCTAAATCATCCGGTAAGGCAGTGATGTATGCAAGTTTTGGCCAAAGTTGCAATTTAAGTGAATCAGTGTCTCAACAACACACTTCCTCTCTTACTTTTCTCCACCTTAGGATCCTGTCACCACACCACTGGGAAGGTTAGATGAAAACCCTCCACAGTTTATTTTCTTTTTGAACAAGTTACATTGTGGAGGAACTTTTAAGCTAAAAGAAGAAAACTCTCTCTTTGTTAGAAACAGCAGTGTGTAGTTTCAACTTGTCTTGGACTTCCTCGGAGATGTTTTAAGATCCGGTGTAAACTTGCTGTGGTTTGCCTTTGGGCATCAAACTGTTTAGCTTGGCTGTATTATATCTGTAATTGCTGCGTTTTAATAATTGCCCAATATTCTTGTCAGCAATTTGCAGTCTATATTTTTAATAGAACCATTTGCCTTTCTTTTCCACAAGGTTATTTCAAACCTGATTTAAGCCCCTGGATTAACGCAGCATAGTCCCACAGACCCTCTGCAGCTGTGGGCAGGGGGTGCCACAAGCTCGTTAAATATTCCCACACGCCTCGTGCCAGTTATGATTTATGTGCCATACAGAAATCCTCCGGGAAGCCATCTTCTTCTGAGATCTCCTTATAGGACTTTGTTTTATAAAAATTGCCTTCAGTGTTTGCTGAAGTAGCATATTCTTTTAGAATCAGTCCATTCAGGAAATCTAAGTTTTTGAAGGGAAAAAATAAGGACACGTTCTCTTTGCTGTTGTTGACTTTTTAAGTGAACAGAGGAGGTTTTCATTCCACCTGAGGTGATGTGGTATTATGGTGACAGCAATGTTGAACTTCATGGGATGATTGAATTCAATTTCATGGCTTCCAAAATTATCTTTATAGTTCAGTCAGTTTTTGAGGGAAGACTGTTGTGCCACCAATGCTTCAGCTTGACTCGCAATTTTGTTCTTTAATGATTCCACTCTTAAGCTTGTCTCCTCCTTTGTCTATTGTGGGGTTGCCACGAGTCGGAACAGACTCTACAGCAACTAACAACAACAACGTTTATTTAGCAGTAAACAAAAGATCAAACTGATTCTGAGACAAAACTTTACAATAGCTTAGAATTACCACACCCAAATAAATAACCACACCCTAATTTCTCTACTTTATCCATATAAGTACCGATGGCCTTCGAGTCGATTCCGTCTCATAGCGACCCTGTAGGACAGAGTAGAACTGCCCCATCCGATTTCTATGGCTGTAAATCTTTACAGAAGCCTACTGCCAAATCTTTCTTCCACGGAGTGGAGCGGCTGGTGTGTTTGAACCCCCTACCTTTTGGTTAGCAGCCAAGAGCTTAACACTATGCCACCAGGGCTCCTTATCCATATAAATACCTTAGAGGAAACAGGCAAGTAGTGATAATAATGTTGTTGTGGTGTTGTTAGCTGCCTTTGAGTCGATTCCGATGCTTGGTGACCCCATGTGTTACAGAGTAGAACTGCTCCATAGGGTTTTCTTGGCTGTAATCTTAAAAGAAGCAGATTGCCAGGCCTTTTCTTCCACAGTACTGCTGGGTGGGTTTGAACTGTCAACATTTAGGTTTAGCAGTCAAGCGCAAACCATTTGTGCTGCCTAGGAACCGTCAGTTGCTCATTACGTGTGCTAGGCACTGTTCTAAGCACTTTATGTATATTAACTCTTTTAATCCTCACAACAGCCCATAGGAAAGGTTCATACATGAAGACTTCTCTGCCTAACGTCACCCAGTTGGTAGATGGCAAAGTGGATTCACACCTAGGCAGGCTTTTAACCACTATCCTATAACCTATAATAACTTAATCTTCAGGTATATCTAAGAGATTCTTTTTGAAATTAAAACTTTGTTGTTATTATTTCTGGATAGGCAATACTTGCACATGGTACAAAACCCAAAAGAGAATTTAATGAAAAGGTTCCTACTCCCTCCCACCCCTACCCCCCAATTATCCTATTTCCTTCCTTCTCAGAGGCAACTAGTGTTACTAGTGCAAAGAGCCATTTTGAGTATCTTTTTCTTAATACTTGATGTAATGTACTAAGGCAATTTAATTAGAAACTCATTTTGCCAGTGTTCTTATATTTTCATACTGTTTCTACAAGTGCACAGACTTGCTTTTTCTCTGAAGGTAGTAAGTTGGTTCTGTGGATGTTATTTCCTAGGTAAGGGTAACAAGGCTGCAACCCCCAGCTATTTGAGATGATCCTGCCTTGCCCAGGGCTTTGATCAGGCAGGGTCTTTGAGCTTTTACCCAGTTATTAGATAAGTTTTATTTCTGACAAGAAGGAACCATATCTTATTGTCTTTGGATTATTAGCTCCTTGCACAGTGCCTAGAACATAAAAAACCAAACCAGTTGACATCAAATTGATTCCAACATATGGCCACCCTATGTGTGTCAGAGTAGAACCGTACTCCATAGGGTTTTCAGTGGCTGATTTTTCAGAAGTAGATAGCCAGGACTTTCTTCCTAGGTGCCACTGGGTAGACTCGAACTGTCAACATTTTGTTTCAATTAGTAGCCAAGTGTTAACTGTACCACTCAGGGACTCTGCCTGGAACATAGTAGGTGCTCAATAAATGTTTGTTGAATTGAACAGCTTCTGTGGGTTGTACCAGATCCAGGGGTATAAGGCTGGAAAATATACTGTGGAATAGCTGAATGAGGTAATCTTTAGGGACATGGAAGGGATACTAACGCTAACCACCACGGATCTCTCCATTCAGAGTTACCCATTGGATCCTCTAGTCTAGTAACGAGAAAGTCTCAGATAGGGTTGAGAGGCAGGGAAGGCTTTTCTCCTGTTAAAACATTGGCAAGCAGTTGAAATAAGAATCGTTCCTTTTCATTTTTCAGAATGATTCTAAGTGTGTTTTAATTGGTCTTTGTGATAACCTTGTGATTGTAACATTAGATTGAATCTCTAATCAGAGTTGATAGTGTTTTCTTGCTGACACTAGGGAATGCATGTGTCAAGTGTCATTGATTAATGCCACAGATTAACTGGTGATATTATATTATAGGTGTACCTTGCTTTTCTTCTATATTTGTAAAATTTTTACATAACACCAAAAGATGTAAAATGTCAAAAAGAAGCATGCCATTTGCAAAGTACTTGCCATAAAGATCTTTATTAGTACTGAAACCACAACCCTCCCCCCTCCCCACCTCCATTTGCTTTAGTGCTGTCTTGGCATCTTTTTTTTTTTTTAAATTGTACTTTAGATGAAGGCTTACAGAACACACTAGCTTCTCATTAAACAATTAGTATACATATTATTTTGTGACATTGGTTACCAACCCCAAAACATGTCGACACTCTCCCTTCATGACCTTGGGTACCCTACTACTAGCTTTCCTGTCCCCTCCTGCCTTCTAGTCCTTGCCCCTAGGCTGTTGTGCTCAGTTTGTCTTGTTTTGTTTTATCGGTCTGTCTAATCTTTGGCTGAAGGGTGAACCTGAGGAGTGTCTTCATTACTGAGCTAAAAGTGTGTCTGGGGGCCATACTCTCCCGGTTTCTCCAGTCTCTGTCAG